GAATATTTTCGGGGGCACATTTCTTGTAATGAGGAATATTTTCGGGGGTACTTTTCCTGAGGGGGCAGTCTATTTCAAGAAACCTCTCTGACGAAACCAATAGTCTGTGGCACAATGTAAGAATACATTACTTATCCCCCTTCGTGCCTGTAATATAAACAATGTTCGAATCTACTCACTTTACGTGAACGATATTTGGTATCTGAATATGCAAATCAAAACTTACCATTTCTCCAGATGTCTGATGTTGCCACGAGGCACACTGTATTTGCTAATCAAATCGGGAAGGCGCGTTTCATGTTCGATGAATATTAGAATTAGAGACATTAGACGATACTTCAACACGCCTACATGGATAGGCGGGACAAATGATATTTTACTCTTTCAATTTCTGTTGATCACGATGATTTCTGCGGGGAAGTTATGTTTAATATTGAAGCAATGGAAGACAGATCATGACAGATAATTCATTGGTCTCTATTTTGATGTAATACTCTTGTTATGATGTTTTGGAATGGATGTGAAATGAAATTTGGCTCTGTAGTTACATTTACATTATGTATTTATATGCCCTCCACAAACCAATCGTTGGTAATATCGTCCAAAATTTCATATCCCGATTGGACTATATTTTACCTGTCCCAGTTTATGTAAATAGAAAACGTCAAAGCCATAAAATAACCAGCCTCGATTATCAGACGAAACATGTTCAATTGGGAGAAAAAGGAAATTGATCATTAAAACTTAGTGATGACACCAGGTGTTTGCGAAAAGGATAAGCATGTCCTGACCTACCCGTAGCACCCACCACTCATAAATTTGCATAAAAATGTTTGTGTTTGTTGCCTGACGCCCTACAGCATTATTCCTGCCACGCGATGACGGCAGAATGGTATATAATATAAGGTCACAAGCTGTTGCAGAATACCTTTTCATATAAATCAAGATGTTACTTTAAGTAATTTTGCAATATGTAATTGGAACTCGAAGGAAATTGAATTTGCTGTAATACGTACTAAAATTACCTGTTTGCTTCATTTCATTAAAGCCAAAAATCAGAAATGCAAATAAAAAGGAGTGAAAACAGGCTACGTATTTCCATTCACACAACGCGTGTCAGCATAAACTAGGCCAGAGCAATGCAGATCTTTGACGCTTGATGAAACCAATGAGATCCCAGTTCCAAATCGCTAAACTGAAGTTGATTTGTCTCGATACTTCCATGGCAGTATAAGGGTAATGCTATTTTTCAGGACATTATCATTTGAAGAAGCCTGAGGTCTGCCATTTTCAGTGCGAAGAAGAAGGTTGAAGAGACCGAGGCCTAGGGTTTCTACAAATGACAATGACTAGAAAAATAGCGTTACCTTTATTGAAGCTAAAATGCAGAGAGTTTGTCCTCAGCATGATAATATCCCTAAATCATTCCAATCATTCCAGTCAAACAAAAACAGCACATGGGGGCTATTATATACGAAGGGTACACCAACGATGAGTGTGACACTGGCCTAGACACGTCTTTAACGATGAATTTCGAATCGGCCAACATGGTACAGAAACAGGTTTATGGACATTGACTTGTAATTGAATTGAAAACGGCTGACAGCGAAATGATGGACCGATGATGAATACCTGGGACCTGCAAGGAAGTTCAGAATATCAGAATTCTGCCAACACGTTTCACGTCGCTGCGTATTCGCGTTTCAAACCATCTGCAATCTACGGAGTGCCTCTGTTCATACAGCAGTATTAATTGGATACTCGGTGGGACGAGTTAGTAATGTGACCGTTAACCTTCAAGGACGCAACAAGCCAGTTTGGGTTGTATACTCCCCAGAACGATGAGAACATCAAGGGCACTCTGATCCATTGATGAGGGTAATGAAGTTAGCGCTTTGAGCATGCACCGTGTGGATACAGAGGCATGCGCAATATAAGAGCACACATAATTATGTATCATTATGCGATCGGTTTTAATTCACATGATGTATCTTTATGTTCAAATACCAAGACCATAACATCAATTTACACCATCATACTTGAACCACTAAATTGTCACCTCTAGAAAAAATTAGGCAACCCGTGAAATGTCTAGATCTCAAGTACACGCCACTGTCTAACGTCATAAGGTTTCTAAAAGTAAGGCTCTGGTGATGTTACGAAAGGGACAATAAACTCCAGTCGTCTTCGTTCCCTGTGTTCTCACTATCGACGGCTGTTTGCGTTCCGGGTACCGGTTAGTCAGTTGCAGACTTGCTCACTGCGTTTTGACAAGAGGCCTTTCTTCGAGCTCGGGTTTTCTTAATGTGTACATGTACGTGGATGGGTTGATAATGACTCTCTGGTACATCGTTATCGGCTGGTGAAATTGTGTTCCGTCTGATTAGCGTTTCAGGTGCCAACTAACGAGTTATATCTTAATGCTCATGCTTCAGCAAGTCGCAGTGTGTCGGATTGCCAGTATTGTCATTGATGTATTATTATGGTTATCAGTTTCAATGGCAAAAACAGCTTATAATAGTTTCTTACAATATTGGGGGCGGTCGGGTAGCCTACTGTTTAAAGCGTTCGTTCGTCTCGTTGTTGACCCAGGTTCGATTTCCCACATGGGTACAATGTGACGAGCTCATTTCTGGTGTCCTCCGCCGTGATATTGCTAGAATGTTGATAAAAGCGGCGTACAGCCATAATCAAACTCATTCTTACAATATTGAAATATCTCAAGATTGTTTATTCCAAGATTGGACATAACACATTCGTTTCAGTTTTAAATTAACCTAGCTTGCCCCTCTCAGCTCCAATAACCATGTCGTTGTGAGTAACCATATCCTCTTCTTTCGTTGAGTGTACAAACGAGCCATGGAAAATAGACGGAGTTTCAGCCATTGTGGATCCTTTCTAAACAGATTCACGTTGAAGAAATGAAACATTCATCATGTTACAGATTGAAGTATAAACAGGGGAACGGCTTGGTAACATAATCGGGCGACACGGGTGGCCAAGTCGTCTAAGGCGCCGCAATTCGCTGTGCAGAGTTGCGTCCCTTGGGCACGCCAGAAACCTATGATTGTGGGTTCGAATCCCGGTTCGCCCCAATTATGTTTCTAGGTTTGTCAGCACCATACCCGTGCTCGTGGGTTTCACCGAAGTGGTAAACGTCTGCGACCTGCATCACTTCGGGCTTCCCTCCATGAAGCTGACACGCCGCGATATAACATGGATATACTCCTCTGTCAAAAGCGGCGTTAAACCCAACTCACTCACTCGTAATATAATAATGATCCGTTGTGAAGAGTTTCGCGGAGTTATGGTGACAGGATCCGATGGACAGGATCTACGACCTACGACATATACAATACAAGTACTTGGTACCAAAGTATGAAACAGAACACGAACATGTAATTGTGACAATCGTCTTGTCATAAAAAAATACACATTAGGTATATCAAATCTAAATATTGATATCCATTGATACATCAACCTAAACAAGGAAAAACCTTTGATGTTGACAGGCCCCAGTGTTCTCTTGTCACATGCTACACACAGCGAGAAGAGCTGGAATGGTTGACAGCAAGTTGCCTCATAAGTATACATCTAAATAGATGTATGTGTAACATGTGTGGCTGAATATGTTCATGCCAATAAAAGCTGGCATTAGTAAATTGGAACATATAGAGTAGCACAGTCAAGCACAGTATCTGCTCCTGGTCTTGTCTTGAAGAAAAATGTGGTACACAATTCTTTTCGTTCATCACCTATTGTCCAATCTGTGAGGGAGTGCATCATCCTGATAGCCCTTGCAGTACAGTCATATTCCCTCCTATTCATTCATATCTTAAGGAACCGGTAATACGCTATCCTATTATGTCGCCACCTCAGATCAATACATTCACTTGAGCGCAGGATGTTGCATATAAATGTGTAAATGAGTTAATCAAGAGCCATGAGGGTGCCAACCACACTCACCCACACACCCCTCATATTAGTGTACACGACCGGTACAAGTATATTAAGCTGAGATTTTCAATCAGAATGCATAACCATGGGGGCTCACAAGTTAAGGGATTATACTTTATCGATTTTATTGAAAAGTTTTTTTCAAGATTAAATAATGACATCTTCGTACCTGATAAAAATTTCATGACACACATCGTACTGCATGGGAAGGGGTTGGCACCCTCAGACAAAGAAATGGCATAAAACAACAGTTTATTTAGATAACGTACTCACAAATGAATATTTTTTTATATAGATGGAAGGAGTTATGGATTTTATGAATAGTTAGTCACTGTTTCTTGCCGATTACCATGAATGCATCCAAGGTATGATCATGGTATTAACCTGTGTTGTAACCTGAAATAATAAATTCACAACGAACATATTAAGTGTGTTTTGATAGTGATCAGATGATTACACATGATAAAACCCATGTTGAACAGACCATATCCTTTTATGTTTCTTTTATGTTTAAAATTCACACTTCAACACATCAGTAATTTTATACTTGTCTCTCTTTATTGCAATATATATCTGCATTTAACAATGTCATAACATCAATTAGTATTTATGTGTTGTACATAACTGTGAAAACATTACATTACAATGAATAACATATCATCAGTAAAATAATGTAAACAAAACAGCATTTAGACATATCAACAAGGAATACTTTTGAGGTTACATTTGCATTTATGTCATGAATACAGTTGATTAAACTAAACCAATTAAATCAGATTTGCTACATAATGTCCAACATTGATTCTTTATACTACAGTGGTAAGGGAAATAAATTGTCAACATATATGGAAAAAACAAGAAGCTACAAATATACACAACTACTAAGGTACATGTACCAGCCACGTCTTCTGAGGAAATCAGTATGATTTCTTATCTATTGGAACACATCTGTGTAATTTCCTACTTTTCAAAAAGTATAATTATCAGAATGTTGTAATAAATGAATCAGTTTAATAACACCTGCGGCCTTTATCGAATGGATACAGTGTTAGCTCAGCTTCGGACTTACGTGTCATAAGTTGTGGCAGCGCACAACCAGTAACCAGACCCAAGTGACAGTTGGACGGTCGCTATTATCATTTCAAAACAAGAGTTATCGCCCTTTGGGACAAATATAATACCCGTTATCCACTAGGCTACCCCGCCTGATTATTACTTCAGAACATGTTAACACTTAAACGATTTTAAATAAAACAAACCAAAAGAACATCAACGGAGTTGTCAACCCGTTTAAAAAAAGCAAATAACTGTTATGGTCAGATACATGGAACCTTATTACATATGACAAGATAGGCTTTAAGACGAGTATGAAATTGTTCTCGCGTGTTCAGCATATGCTATGCTGAGAAACACATATCTTAAAACAATATTACTATATCCGTCTTAGCGTCTTTAAATGTACACATTTTTTCAAATAGTTCTAAGATCTCACAGATGCACCTACAATCTATGTTTGTTTTTTTATCACGCAATGATATACACGAGCAATCTTATTTTCATAACAAAACTGTCCTGCTCATCACAATGTATGGTATTATGTACAATAGGCTTGTGGCATTCTCAGTGCCGAAATAACGATTGAGATTGACATAGAATCAATTGTACACATTCCTCTTCATGCACATTCATTAAAGTGTGTATATTCCCGTTGGTGTTGACACACAAACAGAAGTATGTATTTTAATCTTTCTCTAATATCATCGTCCAGATGTCCGAGTTCCGGCCACAAAGACGTCAATCATGTTACGGTCATCACCTATTAAAACATGCACGCATCTGTAAAACACACATCAATAATATGTCATGTTGGTTTCGGTCATATGGTATTACACACATCAAGGAGTTACTTCCAGTCTACCCACATTCGAAATTACAATGTTCGTTACAAAGCTTGAAACATGCTGATGTGAGGTAAACTGTTAAATCAATCACTCCAGATTGTATTCATTTCAATTGCAAAACTATTATGGACGCACATAGATATTGCTAGTATGGAAAAGAGCTACATACTACTCTTCGGTGAAACCTATTTGTGTGTCAATTAGAGATATTTTGTTTCCTCAAGTAATTGTGTGATGATATGAACTATTTTTATAGGTTGTGTTATCAACGAGCTGTAACTCCATGTACACGAACGTTCAAAATTGGAAGGTATAACAGAAGACAAGGAAGGAACATTTCCCCTTTGGCCCGCAGTGTTCATTTCAACACATGCACTTCCGGGAGATATAACAACGCTAAATGCGCAGGGAAGCACACATGTGCCTAAAGGCGGATATTAGAGATTCGGGTATCATTTCTTCTGATATTTGGACATGAGCAAGTATTTGAATAAAGCTGATTTTCAAAGGAAATGGAGATAAAAACACAACAAAGATATAGTAATAATTCATAATGGTTCATGGTCTTGGCTCATAGATTTTCATTTGAAGTTCGATAAATGAGACGTTTTCGCTTATTTTACCAATAATTAGGTATTTGATCACGTCAGAAGTCCAAACGTGCCAAACTACATACTTACTTCCCGCTGAACATATATTTGTGTGACAAATAGAGATATCTTGCATCAACCAGTACCCTGTGATACTCGAGTTCATTGTGTGGTGATATCAATTACTTAATTCCTTCACGTTCAGACCGAACACAAATGATTTCTTCCGTTATGGTGACTTACCTAAGAAGAGGAACTTCTGTATAATGTCGGAGAAGGTATCGGTAGAGAAGACATCAAATGGTGAATTCTCCACAAGAGGGTCGACAACGATGCCGTCAAAGTCCTTTCCAACTTGAAAGTTCCCTATTGTCTCGTCCAGTCCCATCACTGGAAGACAGAGCCGACATGTGCTTATTACTTACAAGACGCTTTAACATGAGAGATATACATATATAAGAGGACAACGTATACTGAGAGACACTTCGAAACTAAAAGGAACGATGCAATATGATCATTAATACAATATATTAACTCAATGTTGCCCCAAGGTGCGCTTAATTGTCAGAGCACAAGTTGGCAATTGTGAGAATATATGTCTGAATATTAGGAAGTTGTTAATAAGCTTAAGTTCAATTCCCCGAAGCACCAGAATTTCTTTGCGTTCAGGGCATTTAAGTTTTGAAGTTTGACAGGTATCAAAATTAAAAAAAGATAATAAATTAATCTTCAAACAGCGCGTACAGAAATGATTTACCAATATCACAATACATTTATGAAAGAGAAAAATACAAAATGTTCTTGAACCTTCACTTCCGCCTAATGTTGCCAGGCGAAATAGTTCCTTGTATGTTAGTATTTCGTAGTTTTCTCCCCTTTCCTCACGTTGAATAGCGATAGTTTTCGAGACTTGGGAGGCAGAGCGAAGTGCATCTAACATTGAGCAACTGTATCCACCAGAAACGTCTGGAAAGAAATCGAAAAACGAAATGTATTAATTTATCTTTCATAAAACAATTCTCTCATCTAATTCAAGAGAAAGGGACTTGCCTGATAGTGGTGAGTAAAAGAATATATGTTACGTAGGATGGATGATGTCATACGCTTCCATGACAGTTATCCACAAATTGGACCAAAAATAGCAAGTATCAAGTCGATCAGGCAGATGTTAATGAAGTTTATTGTTCATGGTTATTAACGTTATATGTCTACAACATATTCCCTTCACACTCTGTTATCGCTGTCTTTATATCACCTTGTTATTCATTGTGAGATACAATTTGGGTTGATTGTAATCGATTCTTTGAAAATACCTGTTCCAAGTCCAATTTTACATCCCTTTTCCAGCACGTGCCTTACATCAAGGAAGCCGCTTCTCAACCTGAAGAACATCATTTTAATAAAACGTGTGTGGGGGAGAGTTGGGGTTATCGCCGATTTGGACAGTATTTCAGTTGTATTACAGCTAGTCAGATTAATATTGGAGGTATGCCAAAAGAAATGCTTGTTAGACGTTTACAGCGAACTGGTGAATGGTGCCTACAGACCATATCAGGGATACTCTTGGATTGATTCATTGGATCCTGCCAAGACCAAGGGACGAAACGGCCATCTACGACGCCTCAGAGCATCATCACTGTTACAATGAATGGATTTGTCTGCCATACCATCACTGTTGCAGTGAGAGGAACTGTCTCCTGTATCGTCACTGTTACAATGAATAGATTTGTCAGCCATACCATCACTGTTGCAGTGAGAGGAATTGTGCCCTTTTCTCATCAATGTTACAATGAATGGATTTGTCACCACACCATCACTGTTGCAGTGAGTTGTATTGTCTCCTGTATCGTCACTGTTACAATGAATGGATTTGACACCCATACCGTCACTGTTGCAGTGAGTTGTATTGTCTCCTGTATCGTCACTGTTACAATGAATGGATTTTTCTGCC